TTTGAGGCCAGAACGGGAGTATCGCGAACCAAGACATATCGGGCCAAATACGAAGGGGTAGACACAGTGTGCAGTGCGTGTGGAGAGGAAGAAGAAACTGCCGAACACTTGATAATGCTCTGTAAAGGGCTTCACCCTATAGGTCAGGATGATGACGCCGAGTTTTTCTCAGCACTTGGGTTTAAGGACAGGGAGGGCAAAATAGACTTTAAGCGGGTAGACTTCACTAGAAGGAGGTTATCTGATTGGTGGCTAAAGTCAAGACACGAGTGAAAATTAAACCCTTCACTGCTAAATACGAATCCTCAACTTCACTATTTAAAGAAAAAAAGATAAATCTAATGGTTAGTTCAATAAGTATTACGGCGAGGTGGCGTTAGCCGCCGCCCGATCTAAAGGGTACAGCCACATCCATCCATCCATCCATCCATCCATCCATCCATCCATCCATCCATCCATCCATCCATCCATCCATCCATCCATCCATCCATCCATCCATCCATCCATCCATCCATCCATCCATCCATCCATCCATCCATCCATCCATCCATCCATCCATCCATCCATCCATCCATCCATCCATCCATCCATCCATCCATCCATCCATCCATCCATCCATTCATCCATCCATCCATTCACCCGTGAGCACCACTATCATCATTATGGGTGGTAGATTGGTAGCACCGGCGGTAACCCCTGGCGGAAGGCAAGCCTTGTTAGCGGGCGAGAGTTGAGCGAGTCTCTTCTGCGCGTGGCGGTTGCCGCGAACGCTTGTCTCTAGCGTGGATCTCCGGCGCATGGCACCGCGGGCTGCGCGTCGGGGGCCCTCGTGGTAAGTCAAGCGTCGGCACCGCCGCCTTGGGTGTGTTATTGTGTTTGTCGTGTTATTGTGTGTTTGTCATGGAGTGTATGGTAGTATTGTGTAAGGATGTCCTAGCGTGTTGATAACGATTGATGTATCGATTTGGCAGACGATATCTTCGTTCTAAATTAGTTAAATAAATGCGTGTTGTTGTTTGGTTTGTACCGACCGCGTCTGCTGTGTCCGTTCACTCCAAGAGCATGGCACTCGCCATTTCGAGACCTCTCAAAGCATTGATCTGGAGCGGCCACCATACCGAGATTCCAAAAAACTCTCTCGGAGCTCACCGCACTTCTTCAAGAGGAGCGCAAACCAACGCAATGGGCTCAAAGAACACGACACTCTAGGAATAATGCAAGCTCTGCTCACCAGCCGCATCACGTACATCCCTATTGAAAAAAACTTCCACCATAGCAATGGTTGATTCCACTATGGTGGTGGAAATGGTGGCACATGGTGTATGGTGGATGGCGCGCTCCAGCGGGCAATGCTGGAGCGCAAAGCAGCGTCAGAACCACCGTGACGAGCTGCCGCTAATGAAATAATAAAAATGATTGCATGAAAAAGAATGTATCAAGCACACGTAAAAAAAGAAAAAAAAAAGGTGCGTCAGTGTGGAATCAAACCTGGCACCTCCGAATGTTGAACTGAGTACGCTAACCACTGCGCGACGCCGACAGATGGCGATACGAGTGGTAAAAAAGTGGTCAACTCACAAAGTCACTATTTAACTTCTGTTTGTCGTTCACTTGGGAAGGGCGGGATCTGCACCTGCTGCTAAAAGTTGCACATTTAATAAACACGAACAACTGCTGCCTGTAACGATTGCCACTGCTGCAACAGCGCTCTGTTTGTGTTACAATTTACAACCGCATGAAAAAAAAAACAAAACAACTTAGCGGACTGAGGAAGAGGTAGAGTTTATCGTCGGTTACTGCCAAGTTTATTATCCGTTTCACGCTCTCTCCAAAGGGCCATATCAGTTCAGGTTTATGACGCTTCTATGCTCATTCGATAGATACGCCCACACAATTGGTTTTGATGTTTTTCGCGCAACGCACACCGCAGTTGTGCCAGTGCACCGCTGTTGCTGTGTCGCTAGGAACAGCTACGTAACGGCTTGTACAAAACGAATGTAGTGCACCAGAAACATTATGCTATTATATTGGTTCAGTAAGCATACGAATTGACGTGTCTAAGTTCTCGCATAAGAGCCAGCGAAGCGCCGGCCTGTGCGACCGGCGGCGGTCGGTGAGGGGAGGCGTACCTTTGGTGGAAGTGCTCCAAGCGCGTCGCATCGATGTTTGTCGCTTCTTGCGCGGACACCGTACACAATAAGAAAGGCTTCATTTAGGGTAAATGAGGCCACAGCTGTGCTGTATTGTCATTTTTACTCGTCAAAATTGTGTATTTTGAAACCCAAAAGCACCGATAACACTTGTACGGGCTCGGTCGGTATGAGTAAACTTTGGTGGAAATCATGGTGGTAGAACAGAAGGGTGAGAGTCAAATTCGCTGGGGCTCATCTTGACGCATGTCGAAAGTGAAGGTTTATGTATATTCGCACGCACTTTGTTAACTTGAAGGTACGGCTCAAACAATGGAGTGTGCAAGAATTAGCAGAGTTGCGTTTCTAGCCTGGCGACATCAAGTGACCGCTGTGTTCTGCTGTAACATTGACAGGGGCAATTGTGAACTGGAGCCCATTTATTTGTCGACAACTGCTCGCCGATATAAAACATTTATTGTCATGTTCACACTGACAACTCTAGTCTGCTAAACATAAAAAAACACATCGCGGATGTCAAACCGATGTAAGAACGTGCGCGAAATGTAAACATATTCCCGGCCGCACATTCTATGCTCCACGAAAATTGAAGCGTTGTTGACACCACAGGAATAAAAAAAAAGCACTACAAAGCATAATGAGCAGCATTGGTTTCTTTTGACCGTAAATGTATCTCTGCGCATTCAAGAATGAAACACCTCAAATAAGTAATTTCACATACTGTCATGTGCTTTTCATCATGCCACCGTCATCCACCAAGCTTGCGTCACGCCACCGTCATCCACCTTGCTCACCAAGCCTTCCACCAAGCACGTTTTGCCTCGCCACCATGAGCCGGCATTTTTCACCGTCACCACCATTGGCTCGCTACCACCACCACCATATGCCACCATTTTTTCCCTTCTCGCCGTCACCAGCCATTATTCCCACTGCAGTTTCCACCATATACACTAATATTTCTACCATATCCACTATTCTTTCCACCATATCCACCAACGATTCCAGCATCCACCAACCCAGGATTTTCAATAGGGATACCTCAGTTTAAAAACCACGACCATTGAAAAACTTAATATTATGATAAGAAAGGCAACCAAAGCCGTCTTGGGACTACCATTCAGTGCTTCCACTTAATGACGTCTTTAGATGTGTGTCCACAACACGTGGCAAGAGCTCGATGAGGCTCACAAGAACAACCAGCTGGAATGAATCAAGCTCACGCCCACTGGGAGGTTGGTACTCTGGTATCTCAACTACAGCGATTCATACATTGCGTATGCAGACCGGGAAAAGTGCATCCCGATGGACGTTCGAGAGTCCCTGTCCATCGTGCCTATCCCACGCGGCATGCACGCGATATTTCACACATGTAGACATAAAGCTAGAGCCGAAGCTCTTCAACAAAAGTTCAGGCAAAACCTGAATGCCCGCTATACTGACGCGGCCAAGTATCCAAGTAGAAACACGTACGCTATAAGTGTCGTAGACTCTCAAGGCCAAGAGTTAGTGACGGCCACAGTCAAGTCACACAACTCAGACGCAGCGGAAGAAGCGGAATTTGCTGTCGCCACCACCACATGTAAAAACACCACGATGCTCTTCACTGACTCGCAAGCCACTTGCAGAACTTATGTGAAGGGCCGCGTTTCAGCCGAAGCAATTGACATACTACAACGGTGAAGCTCTCCACTTCCATATACCAGCGTAATCTGGGTTCCTGGACGGGTTGATATACAGGGAAATGAAGCTGCTCATGCCGTTGCCCACGAGCACGTTAGTCGGGCTGACCTGGGATTAAAAAATACCCGATCCGTGGCTGCATAGATGGGGATAGTAGGAAACACCTACTAGTCGCTACTTCAACACTAAAAACTGTAGCGACGGGTGTACTCTCCAGCCCATCCAAAACTAAGCAAAGAAGAAAGCATGATCTTCAGATGCCTGCAAAGCAACACGTACATACGTGGAATGTTAATGCACCGCCTCTACCCAACGACACATAGCTACATGTGCCCGCTCGCTAGTGTACCGGACACCCTGGCACATTTGCTCTTGGAATGCCAGTGCCATGCAAACTGGAGCGCGACCAAGCACCAAGAACAAACGTCGTCCACCTAATCAAAACATGAGAGGCCTAGCTCGCCCCCGAGGACCTGAAAGACCAGTGACAACTCGTCGCCAGGGCCTAGAGGGCAGTCGAAGCCAGAGGGTTACTCGACTAGGGAACCCTCCAGCCTTAGGGTGATACCGGTCCTCATTCGGAATACTGTTTCGAAAGGAACATTTATTTTTCTCTCTCGTTCTGCGCCTTGCGCTGCTAAGTCTCGGTCAGAGAAAAAGAAAACAATGAAATGCTTGGCAATACGTAGCAGGAATATAGTATCGCGCAGATTTGTGCAATCGTCATTTTCGTCATTGACATAATACTGATGTGGTAAAGGCAGCAAAATGTAGCGCAAGCGCAAGCAAAGGACTGCAACAACAACAAGAATAAATACAAGGTGGTGTTATCTTGCTTTTTTTTTGACATCTTCTTGAACGCTTTCGGGAATTCCTTGCACGGGGACATGAATTCTAAGCACTCTTCGCAATGTATATCAATGTTTCTACACGGTCTCCCGGCGGAGTCTATTTGTCGAGGGGCGTTTTTCAAAAACCAAACAAATGGAAGTGAGAGTTTGAGCGTGCGCGAAATACATATACTGCGTCCGCGTAGCACCGGAATTTTGGATATCTTTGCCACTCTATGTTTTCGTATACCGCCGCTATACATGATCAATATTGCTTACTCATACAACACTTATTGTCGTTAAAGAGAACAAAATGTAGTTAATATCTGGAAGCACTTACGCAGCCTAAGGTGCGTGCCCTGTTGAGCATCCTGCATAGAACCTGCAACATCAGGGAACAAATATTACACGCGGCAAAATAAGTTTCGAGAAAGCAACACTACGAGTGAAGAAAATGTTCACAAAATAATATCATCTATACTACTGAGCTGCACGAATGTACAAATTAGTTCTGCAAGAGTTTTTCATTTGCACTGATGCGTACGAATTGACTAAGTATTTGGGAGAAAAATAAACTGTACACGACTCCTTAAAGTGATACACGCCCCGCCGTGGTGGTCTAGTGACTAAGGTACTCGGCTGCTGAGCTGCAGGTTGCTGGATCTAATCCCGGCTGCGGAGGCTGCATTTTCGATGTAGGCGAAAATAGTGTAGGCCCGTGTGCTCAGATTTGGGTGCACGTAGAGAAACCCAGGTGGTCAAAATTTTCGAAGGTCTCCGCTACGAGGAGTCTCTCATAATCATATGGTGGTATTGAGATGTTAAACCCTATATATCAATCAATCATCACTAAACTGATACACGAGCTCCTGAACTTGTAGATAGCCTGCAGAGTCACGGTTTTTAGTGAAATGCTCACGGATATCTCTCTCAGAAATTTGCACAATTTTTATAGGTAGCTCTTTGCTACAAGTGTGTCCACGACAGTTTCCATTGCAGTGAGAACACAGTGCAGGTTACCTGCGACCTAATAATTTTATGTAGCAGCTTCAGGCGTCGTGTATCATTTTTGTCAGCCTTCTACAGGTATACTTAGCTGCCTTCAGTTTGTTGATGACCAGTTTTATTAAAAAAGAAGTTGACAGATTAGGGCCTTAACAAGAAACCGGAAAGGTTGGCGTTGACAGATGCTCATGTGTTACACCTAATCAGAAAACGAGGTCCCCCGCCCCCCCTTTTCCCTCCCAAACATGCAAGCATGAGCATGTATTTGAGTACCGACCGTATATACTGCTCGTGCACAAAGGTTAATCGGCTGAAGGTTGATGTCGCTAAGCGCAAGATGATGCATTTCGCAACATGCACCAATAAAAGCACGCTGATCTTGACACGATAGACTGTTTGCTGCGCACACTTCACCAGAGCGGTTCATGTCACTGCAGACTTGACGAAGTGACCACAATATAATGCTTCAACTTGGCGCGAACACCGTCTATTTATACAAGTGTACAATCGGGCCCGAAGCGACTAATGAAGGCGGTAAGTTCATGCCAATTACTACTACTACTACAGGTAATAATAATAATAATAATAATAATAATAATAATAATAATAATAATAATAATAATAATAATAATAAAAATATATTAGCTACAAAAAGAGCAGTTTTTCAAAAAAACTCTGCGTGTTTCAGTTTTATTGTGATGAATGAAGCGGCTTTGTGTGCACTGCTCTGAATATACTCGTTCGGGCAAAAATGAAGCTGGCTGGTCGTTTCTGATGCAAGCTCTTGATTTCTATATGGGACAAAGGCGTGGTAGTTTCAGTTGTAGTGTCATTTACTGAAGTTTGCAAACGCCACAAAAATGAATAGCGACCCATTTCAGTAAAGTTTGTATACAAACGTGGCCTAATTTTTCTGCCAGTCAATGTTACTATACACACGCTCGTTCCGTGTATCCGGTATTTTCGTTTTAGAGATATTCGTTTATTCACAGTTGCCGCACTAGTTTGACTTCCATCTAAGATTTTAGGGTATGCTAATATGACAGGAAAACAATCATCCAGTTGCGCTTCAATTAAAAAACACCAAACTCTCGTGCACTACGAATATATTAAAGTTATTGCGGTTTTACGTCCCAAAACCACGAGATATACTTACGAAGGATACCTATGGAAGAGAGTGCTGCTTGCGATCGTTGCGCCAGCAATGAAACAATAGAGCACCTTCTCTGTCACTGCTCTCGTTACAGCATGCAAAGACGGCAGCTAGCTGCTGCGTTAGCCCGCCTTGACGACAGATCCTTGTCAAAACAGTCAGTGGTCAAAAGCCGACATGATCTGTTTTCGTACAGAAATTCAGTGAAGGCCTTATTAAACTTTTTGCGTGGTAGTGGCCTATTGAATAGGCTTAAACACCCCCGCTCTCTTTTTTCTTTTTCGCGCGTCTATTTTGCTCTTCGCTTTCTTCCTCGTCTTTCTTCCCCTTTTTCTTAGTAGAGGGTAGCAAACCCCATGGCCCAGTTTCTGGTTAACCTTCCTACATTTCCCTCATTTTACCCTCTCTTTCTATGAAGGACATCACATTAGAGGGCTTCAGAAGTTTCTCTCAGTAATTTAACATTTACCTAAATTCAGTACAGGCCATCTGCATGAGTCATTCATCAAAAATGCGGTCTCTGCGGCCGGTATTGGCGGGAGATCCCACGACTTTGGGGTCATCATTAGAGTACCATATACAAGGCCGCCGTACGTCTACTTTGTTGATAGATTCCGAAAAAAGCATAATCGATCAATAGAGCAGACGTGCGACCCCGCCCGCCACGGCGCCCTTGTGGTGCTCCGATGACCAGAAAGTCGCGGGATCTTACCGGTTCCCCCGGTCTCGCCTGGCCCTTTATCCCGGCCAGTATCCCTTTATCTTCCTAGAACCATTCTTGTTTCTTACCCATGAATTTGCGTGTGGGCTAGCACCAGCTCAGGAGTAAACGAGTCGGCTGAAAACAGTGAAGGCTGTATATTTGTAAAGCTAGCTTTTCCGCAATGCAACTTGCCTTGCTAATAGACGCTAACCACTTACCAGAAACAGTGTATTGAAGAGGAGTTTTTTCAAAGACGATAATCTTTCTTGGGGGCCTTCGGCGCAAAAATTTTGGTGTGTCTGTACATTTGTCTGTTTGTTAACTTTTAACGGCACCGAGTATTTGAAACGGCCGACCCCATCCGCAGTGCCCACCAATGTTGCTCAAGCTTTAGCGTTCATACTAGTGCAACTGTCAAATAATGAGCAATCATTGCGCAAGTCTATGGCATCATAACGACACGTATATAATCTGAATGTGCATCTTTAACGAGAAAATACATACATTAGTAATTTTAAGGACCGTAGCGCTTATCACGCTGCGCTGACCATGCAACGCTTGCACGAAAAGGTGAGTGTTTCCAAGGCTTTGCTAAGACGTGATCGTGGTGGCAACTACACATCGCCTTGCAGTCCTCCCCTTATCACCTCTGAGACGGGCGCGCACACGCGTCCGAAAGCCACGCGCTTCGTTTTCCAAGAAGACTGCCAGGTGGCGCTGATGTCTCACGTGGGACGTGACTTGATGCGCTCGTTCGCTTCCGCTGCACGCTCGAGGCACTCTAACGCAGCGCCTCCAGAATATCATTCACCGATTTTCATGCGCAGAACATCAAATTAATTGTTCACTCTCTCCACACGCAAGACTAGCGTCTTTCGACGACGTTTACACACTACATGCAGATACGGGGTCAATTTTTTTTTTCGCGCTATGAAGTGGGAAACTTAGACTTGGTTCTCCTGTCATATATTCATAATAGAAAAGCTCCAGTACGTGCAACTATGGGGCCTCGTCTCCACTGTATTGATGATTGATACGTGGGGTTTAACGTCCCAAAACGACTATATGATTATGAGAGACGCCGTAGTGGAGGGCTCCGGAAATTTTGTCAACCTGGGGTTCTTTAACGTGCACCCAAATCTGAGCACACGGGCGTACAACATTTCCGCCTCCATCGGAAATGCAGCCACCAAAGCCAGGATTTGATCCTGCGACTTGCGGGTCAGCAGACGAGTACCTTAGTGACTGGACCACCACGGCGGGGCCGAGAATGCAAGCAGATGCCTGTTAACGGGCGATCGAGCACATGCGCGCTTTCTCCTCCTACTTATCTCAGAGTTATCTGCTTCTCTTTTTTTGTGTCGTAGTCTGCGCAGCTTCTTACACAACAAAACATTCTTGGCTCAACGTGCTGAGCAATTCCATTCAGCACGGATTTTAGCTATCACTGCTGTGCCCCTCGAGACAAGTGTTGCTATTAGACGATGGTTTACCTGCAACCAGCATGGCCATCAAGAAGAGCAATGCCAGAGCCATATGGAATCCGAGCGGGGCAATACAACCCACTTGTGCTTTTTTCACCTGCTCTTCAAAGCGTCTTTCGGAGGCCGCCGAGGTCCCTCGTCACCTTATGAACGAAAGGGTTGAACAAAAAATAACTATAAGTGGTCGATTTGCGCATGCTCTGTGAAGCGAGCACTCGCTCGACGCAATTCGCTTTCCAACGGGCCATGCACGATGTCGCGAGCGTCGTAAACTTGGCTCGCGCGGCCAATTTGTTTTCTTCTTTCTTTGCCGCTCAAGCGCCCACACTTAAACGTGTCGTGTAATAAGTTTACTTTTGAGCGTTTCGTGCGTGACTGGCGAAAGAGCATCGCAAGGCCTCGTAGCACTATTTCTACGTGTTTATGTTATGTGCATACATAGCTTGGGCATCTGCATAGCATTTGCTCGGAAGCGTTTTCTGTTGATTTTCTCGCTGTGTTGGCTTTGGGTTAATAACTTGTTTCATTTTCGCTATTAATATTTTTATTCTCTTTCTCTTTTTCAGCTTCGCCTTGGTTGCAACAGCAGGGTCATGACCGTGGGTGGCCTGGCCATTCATCGTGCTTACGAAGGAGACTAAATGTTGCGAGTCTGCTTTCCGATGAATCAGCTTTGTATACAGCCCCATTTCTAAAACGTTTCCTGTCGTTCAGAGTTTTGCCTCATTCAACGAAGACCTTCATTAAAGTGGTGGTTTCATCGCAGCTACCAGTAAACGTTTCGCTGTTCCTTTCGTCCATTTCTACATATTTCATGATGCTTAGCAGGTGCGCTAAATAACGTGAGTTAACAAGGAGGCCATGGACCATTTTGTTCATTTGAAGTATATACTTTCTTTAACGAGCAACCTGGTATTCTTTGTATTGTTCGCATTGTGAAGCAGAAGCGTTGGGTAGGAATTAGAATATCTTGTACGTGATTTAACGGCCATGGCTTCATAAAATACTGGCTCACCAACATGATTACCATCATGGCATGTGAAGGCAACATATTCACACCGCGTTTAACCTACTTCAATACGATAACGATGCTACCAGAAGACGATTGGCCTCTGTGCGTCAATAACAAAATAGCTTGCAAGTGATTATTTATTTACCACGTGATAGTACAAACCATCCGTTTGCCTTGGGGTTTAACAACATGGCGGTCTCAGTGACATCAGTGCAAGAAATCTAATAAATGCTCCGAAACGAAAGGTGACAGCGAAGCTATGCGCAATGACTGCAGCAGTAACTGCGCGAACATTCGCCTGCTAAACCGAACACTATCATCATCACGAAGGGCTCTTGCGTTCAAAATAGAATAAAATAAAAAAAGTGATGGTAACCACGAAGAGAGTGCTGAAACAGAAACTCTGCAAACGAACGTTTTCGTTTGGAAGATAGGCTTGCAGGAAAGTCCACTTATACATACTTCTGCAAAGTACTACTTCAGACATGAACGAGGACTCTTGCACTGGTGTTTCAAAGAGGACATACAGCGCCACTGCGGCAGCTGCTGGCGAAATCTCCCTGTTCTCTCTGCACAGTCGTGCCTGGCCACCGCCGACAACCGCGCCTGGCCACAGCAGATTTCGTCCACACGTCCGTCCGTCCATCTAGTTAACACTCCAAATACCGCCATCTCACATATTTTCATCATCTATTCATCATATACAAGTACCGCCATCCAGTGGGCATTCTAAAGATTAAATGATAGGTAGCGCAGCTGGGCTAGACTGCACCTGCGCGCGCTTCTTATGACCTTTTCTCTCATTGCTAAAGCAATGAGAGACTGTTTCCGAGTATGCTTCACCACCCATCGGCGGTAGGGGCACTGCCACCCTGACCGTACATCTCCTGCGGCGCGCAGGCGGCACAAGGGTGCATGCTCGATGTGAAACCGCCGAATGAGGGTTCTCGACAGAGAAGAGAAAGAGGGATACTTCCAAAAGGGGTGGTGGCAGAGAGGCGCTCGTCTCTTTTAAAACAAAAAAACAGTAAAACTAATGTTATCAGACTGAGAAAAATTGCGCTACAATTACTGCGGAAAACAAAGTTAAGGAGGAGACAAAAAGAAGGGGACAGTACAAGCGCAAACTATCAACTGAAGTGTATGCTATCAGACTATCAACAGAAACTATCAACAGAAGGGCCCTAAATTTGCGCTAGAGCCAAGACTGAATGCTGCAGAATGCGTAGGAATGGTACGCACGGTCACCGACAAAGGTCTGAAACAAGCGAGATTGGCAGCCAATAAGAAAAACCTAAATGAAATTCACGTAAACAGAAGAGGGCCGAGAAAAAAATGAACCGCTGGAATAAAAGAATTGGTGACGTACTTCAGGCAGCATGACTTGAGGCTGCTTCTATCAGACAAGACGGGCGTGTTTGTTATAACAAGCAACGCCATGTACATTGAAAAAGCGATAGAAGCAGTTAACAAATATTTCGTGCAAGACAAGGAGATAAACCTAAACAACCTTAAGAAACGTCGCTGAGATGCGGAAAGTCTCTGCCTTGAAATTGGACTAGAAAATTTAGCAAGGAGCCTTAGAATGAGTGATAGAGACAACCTAAGACCGTTTTTTGCAGTCAAGACACATAAAGAAGGAAACCCGTTTAGGCTTATTCTAGAAGGATGCTCTACCTGGCAGAGCACCTTGGCATGCTTCTTCCAGAAGTGCCTGAAAACCTTGCCGTAGACAATCCTTTTCTCATTAAAACTCGGACCGTGTTGCGGAATTCCTCGAGACAACTTCATGCACATTCATTTTGTTTTCGTAGATGTGAACGATCTCTACTATAACATCCCACAAAAGGGGGCTCTCCGAGCTGTTGAAGAGTGCATCGGCGAACTTGGAACCGTTCAATTTCAAAACCAATGCGGGATAAGTATAGCGAACTTTATAAAACTTCTCGAAATCTACCTAGACTCGTTGTGGGTAGAATACAATAGTAAGGTATACAAGTAAATCGGCTGCCTATGCATAGGATCAGGCTTGACCCCCATACTCTAAGACTTGTTCCTGGCGGTGGGACACAAAACACAATACAAGCCATTTCAAGGATCCAACATGGTCAATTGCTTCAGATACGTAGACGACTACCGGGTGGCACGACCAAATCAGGCATTTACTTAGCCTTTAGTCGTGTCCCCCAAGGCAATCTTGTTCAATTTTGCCTTGAATAATCAAAGCAAACCAAACCAAACTACCTCGTATGCCTAGACTAGCCACAAAACAAAATCAGCGGGACAACAATAGTGAAGATATTTGAGGACGCACACGAAGGTTTGCAGTTTATGGACAAAGTCCCCGCCGAAAACTCTCTGCAATACTTACCTTCGTATTCTATAACGTACCTTCACTCAACGCTTCACCTCGACTTGAAAACGCAGATGGGAGCGCCGTCTCTAGGCAGAGGAAGTGACTGCATATCATCGATAATCTGCAGTGATTCTCGAGAAGCACAGCGTCATTATCAGTCAAAGGGTGGCGCAGTGATCAACGCTGTCAAGTGAAGGGTGAAATTCGAGTCGAGGAGCGCTTGTGAATACTGGGGTTATACCTCAACATAAAACAGAAAAGGAGCGACATGTGCTAAATGTACCGAACGAGAGGAGAAAATGGCATGCTTCGCTTCTATTCTGCCCAAACGAAACCAGTGAAGAGGGCCATTGCTCACGTTAGCAAGACACGGTCTGTAAGAAGATCCTGCACACACACATGCGATAATAGCTTCAACCCACAAATACAGCACCTAAGAGAAAGCGGCTACCCAGACGGCGTGCTGGCATCAGTTGGGGAAAACATTCTAAAAAAGATAAAACGAAAGAAAATCAAAGCACCGAACAAGCATGACAAAAATCCTGCAGTAATCCCGTATGTTCACAAGGCATCTCATAAATTTAAGAAGATTGGAGCCAGGCATGAGCTGAATGTTGTGTTCTCAGCTCCAGTCAAATTGAAAGGAATCTGCAAAGAGGTTAAAACTGGTTTCACAGCAAATTCGTGCAGGGCGGGGCCTCGCCTCGATGACCTAGGCACTAACATCAGGTTCGCGGCAAGCGTTCCGGGTGCTGGTGGTGTGGTGGTCTTTTTTTCTTTTTTTTTCTTTCTTTCTCGCTCTCGAGCGCAGTTCGTTTGCTTCGAAGTGTGGCAGCTTGGGCTAATTGGTATGACATGACGAAAGTAATAGCGTGAGAACAGAACGACAACAAAGATTGATGGATTGATTACGTGGGGTTTAACGTCCCAAAACAACCATATGATTATGGGAGACACAGTAGTGGATGGCTCCGGAAATTTCGACCACCTGAGATTCTTTGACGTGCAACTAAATCTGAGCACACGGGCCTACAACATTTCCGCCTCCATCATAAACGCAGCCGCCGAAGCCGGGATTCGATCCCGTGACCTGAGGGTTAGCAACCGAGTACCTTAGCCACTAGACCACCGCAGTGGGGAACAACAACAAAGAGACAAGAAGCAAACGAAGGACACGAGCGCTAATTTCTGGCGCTCGTGTCCTTCTTGTCCCTTTGTCATCGTTCTGTTCCCGCGCTGTTCGCTTCGTTCGCAGCGTGCGCTGGGGACTTTTCTGCTGGGTTCACGGCAAGGTGGGGGGGGGGGGGGGGAGTGTTTTTAGGTGAAAAGAAAAGTGAGCCGCGTAACTGTTTCTCAGGGGGAGGACACCTCAACAGTAGCTCACGAGGGATGTGGATAGAGAAGGGATCAAAAGGATATGATTAAAAGGTAAAGAGATAGAGAGAGAGGAAGGAGAGAGCGAGGCGCAGGGACAGCGAACGACGGAAGAAAAGACAGGAAAGATTGACAGGGTTGCAGGAGTCCGAAGACGGGGCACCACTTGCGAGAGCTCTTGTCGGCGTCAGGAGATAGCGTAGAGCAAGTCGAGTAGGCCAGAGCTACGCTGTAGTCGAAGATTGGCGTCAGGATATGGCGTTGGGCCAGCCCAGTCGGCCAGAGCTACGATGACGTTGGAGATCGCGAGGGGCAACCGGTCGGCACGAAATCCAGCGAGCGAGTCTTCAGGTTCCCGTCAGGCGTCCAGCATGCGTT